CTGATGAACAAAGTTTTAATTGGCATAAATGGAGTAAAAGCTTTCGTTTACTTAGATGATATAATCATATATGCTAAAAATTTAGACGATCATTCTCAAAAGCTCACAGAAATCTTTGATAGACTTAAACAATATAATCTAAAATTACAACCTATTAAATGTGAATTTCTCCGCAAGGAAACTCAATACCTAGGTCATGTTATTACAGACCAAGGTGTTAAACCTGATCCAAGNAAAACTCAATACCTAGGTCATGTTTTTACATACCAAGGTGTTAAACTTGATTCAAGAAAAATAGAATGCGTTCAAAATTTTTCCGTACCTAAAAATGTTAAGGAAGTTAAGTCATTTCTTGGATTATCCGGTTATTATCGACGATTTATTAAAAATTATGGGGAAATTGCGAAACCTTTGACAGCTCTCTTAAAAAAGGATGTCCCATTTACTTGGAGTGACCTTTGCCAAGAATCTTTTCAGACGTTAAAATGCGTATTAACACAAGCTCCAATTCTTCAATATCCTGACTTTGAGAAACCCTTTGTCCTCACTTGTGATGCTAGCAACTATGCCGTAGGTTGTATCTTGTCTCAAGGTCCTATAGGAAAGGATTTACCTATAGCATTCGCATCCAGAACATTAAATAAGGCAGAACAAAACTACAACACCACCGAAAAGGAACTAACAAGTATTGTATGGGGTGTAAAACAGTTTCGCCCTTATCTTTTTGGTCAGAAATTCACAATTGTCACAGATCATCGTGCTCTCACGTGGTTATTTAACCTCAAAGATCCTGGGTCCCGGTTAACCAGATGGAGATTAAAACTAGAAGAGTATCAATACACAGTGCACTATAAAAAAGGATCACAAAATACCAACGCTGATGCTTTGAGTAGAATCCATCAGGTAACAACTCGTTCAACAAGTAAATCAGTAACCGAATCGATGAATTCAAAAAATCCAGAACATATACGAAATCCAGAATATTCCGAACACTCATTAACTCCAGAAAATTCAGAACATTCACTAACTCCAGAATATCCAAAATCATCTTCATTTTCCAATATTAATGAAACCATCACAGAATCTCCGTGTCAATACGTATTGAACAATATCAGCCATTATTCTAATCTTCCTAAAAATATAGTAGAAACCCATGGAAAGGTGTTGATGCACCCTCAGACTATCATTTGGCAAATTTTGTATCCAAAGATCTCAAGTTATCAAAAGGAATTGCTTTAGATTTTCGTCGACAATTTGGGCAATTATCTAGTCTGCGGAAACAAAACAAGAATGTTACTGAAATCGCTTTTCTCAAACAATCCAATAGATTTATCCTCTACATAATAATAAAAGAGAAGATTTGGCAGAAACCAAAATACGAAATTATTTTCACTGCCCTACAAAATCTCCGAGAATTTTGTCATGTAAATCATTTAGATAAAATAGCTTTACCTAAAATAGATACTGGTCTAGATTGGTTAAATGTTCGATCTATCATAAACTATATCTTCAGAGACTCTAACATTCACATTCTTCTCTATTCTCTAGTTGAATACTCATCAGAACAAAAATCTCATATCATTCAAGAATTTCACCTAAATCCCTTAGGTGGTCATCAGGGTATATCACGAACTATCAATAGATTAAAGAAACAACACTCATGGATCGGTATGAATCATGACGTGGCTGAGTTTATAAAAAAATGTACATCATGTCAGAAAAACAAGACTACAAATCGTCATGTAAAAGCACCGATGGTAATTACTACTACCTCTTCAAAGCCCTTTGAGAAAGTTTTTATGGATGTAGTCGGTCCTCTTCCACGTACACCTCATAACAATGCCTACATCCTAACTCTTCAAGATGATCTTACAAAATTTTCATGGGCTGTCCCTATGGAAAATCATGAAGCAAATACTGTTGCTTATCATTTTGTAACCAAATTCATATGCTTACATGGTATCCCTCAGAATCTCGTTACTGATTGTGGCACCGAATTTCTTAGTGATGTGTTTAAAGAAACATGTCGTCTACTGAAAATAAAAAAAACATCTACAACTCCCTATAGGCCGCAGAGCAATGGAAGTCTCGAGAGAAGTCACCGGACTTTAGGTGAGTATCTTCGACACTTCGTAGATAAAGATCAGCGAAACTGGGACACTTATGTTCCATTTGCTATGTTCACTTACAACTCAACAACTCATTCTGCCACGGGATACCAGCCCTACGAACTTTTATACGGTTATGAAGCCCAAGTCCCAACATCATTTACCCGAGAACCGGAACCACAGTATAATTATACAGACTATCAATTCGAATTAAAAAGAAACATGCAAGAAACTCATAATATTGCCAGAAAAAGATTATTAGAAAAGAAGCAGAAATCTAAAACCTCCTATGACCAAACTCAATTCCTTCCCACACTTCATATTGGTGATAAAGTTTTAATTCAGGAAAAGGCTAACAAAGGAAAACTGGCTCCTAAATGGTTAGGTCCTTTTGAAATATTAGACACAAACGCTGATTCAGTAAATATAGTAATTAACAAAAATGGCAAACGTCAAACACTCCACAAGAACATGGCTAAACTCTTTCATGAATAATAATTAACAAATAATCATTATTGTTTGTTACAGAATGGTTACTCACTTCTCTCAATATTATGCAGAAAACCTAAAAGCGTTCATAAATATCACTGAGTTCAATCAAACGTCCGGTCTGTATTACGAATCCTATGGTCCCCTCAGAATCTTATTTCCTCAGCAACTTATTTCCTACCTGGATTTAAAGAACTACCAGCAACGTCATTCTTTAATCTTAGGTTATTACAATCAAACGGTGCGTCACTGTCGGGACGCATCAGAAAATTCAAAAGATATAAAAANACATCAAAAAATTCAAAAGATATAAAAATAGCTACAGTCTGTACCCAATTTGTTAAAATTACATTACCTTATTTAAATGAAATAGAATTCAATCATATTACTCTTTCATCTATGTTAAATCTGAAGGGGAATAGTAGTTCTCTTTACTCCCGACAAAAGAGAGGTCTAGCAAATTTCGTTGGTAGAATAGCAAATGTTTTATTCGGTGTATGTTCCGATCAAGATGCTGAATATTTTTATACTAAAATCAGCGAACTTCAGGAAAATAAAGAAAAAATTCTACGACTATCCAAAGAACAAATACACATTATGAAATCCGTAGTTCATCACACATACAATTCCTCACTACATCTAGATCAAACACAACAAAATATGTCCCGAAATATACAGAAACTACTATCGCAAAGTCAAATGAATGCTGATAAAATCAATTTAGTAGAATTCATTTCTACTCTAGCTGAACATACAGCCACCATAACTCTACTACTTAGCCAATACAGTTGGGAAACTCAGAACCTCCTTGCTATAGTTAACTCAGCTCTAAGTGGTCGATTACATTCTAGTATCCTACCTCCTAATATCCTACTTAATGAATTAAAAGAAATCCGTCTTAGTTTACCATCAACCCTTGAACTCCCAGTTTCTATCTATTCTACAAGTCTAACTGATTTGTTCAAGATAACTACTATTGATGCATTATATATTAATTATACTTTGATTTTTAATTTAAAAATCCCTTTATTGTCTAATTTAGATTTTAATTTATTTCACCCCATATCCTTGCCTATACCACAAGGAAATCAAAATTTTATTTTTATTGTAACCGAATCTAAGTATTTAGCTTTAAGTAGAAATAATGATTATTATTTTTCTTTATCAGACCTTCAACTTTCAAATTGTTTTGATTTAAGTAATTTTAAATTGTGTAAGTACTCTAAAGCACTATATCGTCATTCCAAAACAAAAAATTGTGACGTAAATCTATATTTTAAACCTAATTATCCAATTGTCAATTGTAATCTTAAGTATCGTAAATTGTTCATTCCCATATATCATAAATTAGAAACTCAAAACTCTTGGTTATATGTGACTCCTACAGAAACTCATATGACACTCAAATGTAATAATGTACAGAACCTCTTTTCTATTAATACCATTGGTAAAATAACAGTGGATAAGTCTTGTACTGTGAGTACCGAAACTTCAGTATTATTACCATCTCAAAACATTATTTCTGTTTTCTCCCAAGACTTTGTTCCCGAGAATCCTTTAGTTTACATGAATTCTAATATAACTAATAAAATTTCTAAATATCAGCCTGAACCGTTAACAGAAAATAATTTCATTCAAGATTTGAATCAATTAGCAGATGACTCAATAGATCTCAATAATCTTGAATCCACAATAGCAGAGTCTTCCGATCATTTCATCTTAAATACTCATATCCCATTTCTTTACTGTCTCTTTCTAATAATAATAATTCTAACTTCATACGCATTGTGTAAATATAAAAATACCACCCGACAATATAAACCAGATATCGCACAATGTACAAATTGCAATGAAAGTATGGTCTGAAGTCTTGTTCATTTAATTATTTTATTGTAATTTAAGAGTATTATATGTAAGTAGTATTTCAAACACTACTTCCATTTAAGGGAGGGAGTGTTATGAATACTTAACTTAGTTTTATTATTGTCCCACAATTGTAATAATAGATAATCATAAATTGAATTGTAATTGAGGTCGGCCTAAAAGAATGTATTTATAAAGTATTTTTTTCGGTATTGCAAAACCGGAAAGTGGGCCGACTGCGACTGTTGTAATTCAGAGCATCGTTAGTCATTTGACAACTATTGTGCGATTACTATAACTTTTATTTTAATAAACTAATTAATTATTCGGCAACACTATTTTATTTTATACTATTTGTTACTCTCGTAACACTACGAAAAGCAAAAAAAAAAGAAAATTGATAACAAATTAAAGACAAAAAAGTTTTTTAATTAAAAATAATAATACATATATGTTTTAGATAGTCAAAGAAGTATCTGTATTTGTTAAAAAATAATGAAGATATTCAATAATCTCATACATATAAATAATTACATATGAATTATGTACATTAAATATTAAAAATATATTATCAAAAGATCTTTTACAATTAACTTTCTTAAAAAAAATAAATTAAGACAAATTAAGGTTGGGTGAGATTAGTTACTACACCCATACGATTTTTTATTTTATATAAATATATACATTTTTCATTTTTTACGTCAGCTGTCGTTAATGAATTATGAAAAAATATCCAAATATTCAATTCACTGCTATAAACATAAATACAGGCATTTAAATAATATGTAGAGGCAAGTATTTCTAAATTTTCCCAAAAACTCTTTATGTCTTCTGTAAAACAAAGGCGTTTGAAAAAAATTTAATATTATGAATTTGACAGATAAGTCATTAAGTGAAACGACATATTTTGTTTTAAAAAATCAATATTAACTATTTTATAACAACTGTAATTTTGTAGAACGTTTCTTTTTTACAGGGATTTAAGGAAAAATTATAGGACTGTTAGCTTCAACTGAATACATTTTGTGATTATTTGACGTATAATTAAGCAAAAAAGTCCTGTAGTAGTGGAGTTATCGTGTATGTTGATTTAAGACTTAATCATGATACTATTATAATGATCTTGATGAAATCTCAATTATAAAGACTACTTATGTATAAAAATTGTGTGCCATAAAAGTATTTATGATAATATCGATGAAAATTATTTTATATTTTTTCCGAAGTGTACAATCGTATCACATATAGGTGATTGATTAACTGTGCATCACGCAAAATATTTAAAAATATAAAACAATATTATTTTTTCTTTTAGGATGTTAATATTATCTTATATTATATCATTTATTTTTTAAAAATTTTGTCAGTGTATTATTTATGATAAAAAATATTTCTATGGTATCCAAACTATTATCAATAAAAATGTGAAATATTTTTGAGAGTAGTTATAAAATGTAGAAATTTGGAGAAAATTTTAATCTAAAATAAAATAAGGATTTTAATTATCATAATTCGCAATTAAACATAATAATTAATTTCTACTACCATGTTATAAATTGGCGTTTGCGTCAAAACGCGAGTTCAAATTTTACTTGTGTGGCAGAATAGATGTGGTGGTGACAAGACTACCACTCTATTCTGCACTTACCTAACTTGTTATCGGCCGGTGTCAGTTCACTGTTGTATTCAAAGCTATATTATATTCAATGTTAAAAAAAGTATGTGACTGCGTCGTTATTTGAAATTTCACACAAATAGTTTTTCATTGTTTTTTCTAAGTATTTTTGGTTTATTTTCTTCTTATGCCCGTTTACCAGAAGTGCAAGAATTATTCCTATTCCTGTTTTTCTTTTTATTCAATTTGGATTGTGCTGCAGTGCGCACATTTTGTTAACGGTAATTATAGTTCACTAAGTCGTAAAATTACATTTATATATATATTTTTTTGTTTCTCATAGGTTTGTTCAGACGTAGTGATTTGACATATAGTAAGTTTCTAGTTGTGGTAGTCGTGCTCTCGTGGGGTCACCCTATGTTAAGTATATTGTTATATAATTAAGGTTCCCAGAGGTGCTTTGTGATGGAGAAACCATTTTTTTATATAAGAGATAAATTAACATTTCATTTGATATAGAAAAAAAATTATTTATTAATTTACTTTTTATTTTTTGTCAATTAAGTTATACGGTTACATTTTTGAATTAAATACCTATGCAGCAACTATTGGTTAAGATATAATAATTATACCTAAATAATTAAAATTAATATAATTGTACTTAATACCTCCATTCTCTAAAAATTGGTTAAAATGTGCTCTACAAAGTGGACAAGTATAGTTTCTTTTAATTAATAATTTATCAGCACAAATATCACACAGTTGGTGATTACAATAATCAAGAACATAAGATACGCGTTTACTTTCGTAACAAATTGGACAATCTTCACCTAGATATAAAAAAGATCAATTTTTGATTATTCATTCTGATATAATTAACGTTATTGATTTTATTTTCAAATTTAAGTTTAGTCTACATTTTTAAATTTATTTAATAATGACTTTGAGCCACTACTTTTTATTGCTACTGTTGGAAATAAATCTAATAAATTTTATAAAATACTTACCATTAATTTGAACAGCTGAATTAAAAAACATAATCATTACTAATGTTATGACAAATTTAAATATGATTAGTTATTGAAATTTAAATTATTATAAGACTTCATTCTTGTAATAATTTAACAGTATAAAAGTATTACGTATGATATTCATTAAGATAAAGAAAATTAAAAAAACTATGCAAATATCAGAGTACGAACAGATCATTTATTTATTTGGAACAAGTACATTTCTTCCAAATTAATCTACACAAAATTGATTTTAAAATCACTTAAAAAAAATTTTTTTTCTTGCATGATTAATTTTAATTAACTGTACCTAGTTGTTCAATTTTTGTAGTCTTTGCTATGTAGTTATCAAACATCTCTTTAGTTTCAAAAAGTTTTTCAATATTTTCATTTGATTTTAGATTCTAGTTTTACAAAATTTAAAACAAACATTATTATAACTATGCTTGTAGTTTGTTTTAAGATGTCAAAAGCAGCTTACTTTTACAATATTTCGAGCAAAATGATTCATAAATTTTTTATCTCCGCATATTAATTCAGACAACAAAATAGGAATAACCGTTGAATAAAAAAGTTCACTTGGTATTGTATATGGCGTAAACATATGTTTTTTATTTGGTTCTTTGTATGTAAATCCTAGACTGTTGCATTTTTCTTTTTTCCAATCTGTATCAACTGGATTGTAATAAAGTGGAGATCTAATAGTTCTAAAGTGAATTTTCAAGTTCGTATCTGTATAAGAACATTTAAAAGGAATTGCTATACCCTAAAAAATAATAATTTTTAAATAGTTTAATATTTGTTTGAAATAGAAATACTTTACATCATGTGAACTATTTAACTTAATATAACAAAAAAAGATTAAAAACACTATATTTTTCATAATACAAAAGGACATATTAAGCAACAGTTGCGTTTTTATTTTTTAATATCGTTAGTTTTTTATACTTCTAATTTAATATTATTAAAACTAATTATTATCCATACATAATATATACTTTTTTGATTATTAAAAATGAAAAAAAAAATTTTGGATTGATAAATAAATTATAAATTTAAATTCTATATGTAAAATTAACATATGACAAATGGGTACACAGGTGTTCTACAAAATTTTGATATTTAGCATTTTGACTTTTGATCAAGTTATAACGTGACAAAAAGTATTTATTTATTTTTTTGTCTATTTGTTTATATATATATATATAATATATATATATATTTGTGTTTAGCCGAATGCGGACTGCGACGGCATTTGTCGATAAAATTATCATGATAAGGTGTTGTGATTTGTTTGTGCGCGTGCGAGATAGTCAGCTGTGTACTACTTCAGACCAGTTCATGGACGGCATTTGTGTGTACATTCACCCCGCTCCTTTCCTATCTTGAACGTCATTTGCACTGCTCACCGCATACATTGTCGCCTTATGATTCAAATTGTTCTTAGTAATTTCCGGCACTGGGTATTCAGTTTATTTTGACCCCTACTCTAAAGGCTAGCCGTGTTATCGCCAACGGACCGCCGGGTCATACGCCGGACGTTTTGTCGGAAATTAGCCATCATCGGAACTGGTATGCTAATTTTCATCCGTAGCGGTGTGTTTTTTTTTAGTTGTGTGCGTTACAACTAATTATTTTTTTTATATGTCTAGTTTTTTATCGTGAGTGGCCGCTAAATTTATAATGTAATTTTTTTTTATTGGCGTCGGCTGAACCTGCCTCCGGTTTCTATAGCCCTTCGGGGCTGGTAATGTATATTTTGGTTTTTAATGTTATGAGCCAGAATTTGTTTTTTTTTTATTAGTGCGCCGTGCCACTAATATTAGTAGCACGTGTGGCAAGTTTTTTATATAAAATTTTTTGTAGGTGTCTCTATTTATTTTTTTTATATTGTTTTTTTTGGTCCCTAAATATGGCAGGCGTGTTACAATACCACCTGCCATGTTATATATATATTTTTTGTGATTTTTTTTATATATATTTATATAGGTACTTTGGGTGATGCATATTATATATCATTAGTACAATGTGGTGATGTAGTGCATTTTATTCCGGGGTGTCCCAACGTCTTGCAAGCTAAGTCTAACTGCCTAAAACCAGTCGCTTACTTGGGACGTATACTCACTATGCTTAGCGGTAATGCCGCGATTAATAGCCGGTGGGTACCCGAAGACGTTCATCGTATTCTCTAATTGTAAAAGTGTAGGTGTAATTATTTTTTTTATTAATATCTATTTTTTTTCTTTCTCTCTGTTCCCCTTTAATTTGTAGACAAGGTTTTTTGACCGTTCGGTTTTTTGCCTCGTATTAACTTAATTTTTTTTTGTTTTTTTTACTTAATAAATACTCCTTAATTTAACTTAACCATCATATTTTTCTTTTTTTTGCGTGTTCCATCTTCAATGGACTCGTGTATTTTTTCCTTTCAAAAATCAACTCCCCTAGTTTATAAGTTATGGGCAACGGTCTTGTGCAAGCAGGGCCGTCCTAAGGCCGGGGCGAGCCCCGGGCCCCGCGCTTTGGACTCCTCGTTTGGGCCCCGCGCTAACGCACTTAAATAATCTTAAGTTTTCTTTGAATTAACTATTTACATATATTATAAATTTGACAATATTATATTATTAAATAAATGAAATGAAATACGAAATACTAATGCAGTATAAACAATGATAATAAAAGTGAATAGATTTTCTAAATAGCGTACTAAACAAATTATATATTATTGTTATCAAGCCGTTTCCGTCGAGTGGACATGGGAATACGTTTCTCATTTCTAAAATTAGAATTTGTACAAAACAATGTACGTGTTTTGTTATTTTGATTAATTGAGCAGCTCCCGACGATACTAAATATGATGGAATAAGTTACAGCTATAGTTAAATTTTAACCGTTACCATCGGGCATCATTTATTTTATATATTTCCATGTGAGACTATTGACAAACTTATAGAGGTTTATTTGTAGTTAACTGTTAACTTAGGTAAGTTAAATTTTTTTAAATTTAATTTTACTGTTTTAAGTATTAATTAACTTTTTACAATAACAGATTATAGTTTTATTCAATAACACTTATTGTTTTTTTTTTTTTGCTACAATAATTATTTAATAGAATCATAATTTGTTTATTGCTTATAATTCTTTTTCTGTAAATAAGTTTTATGTCAACAATTCATTATGTCAAGAGATCGTGATAAGTATAGGAAATATTTATCTGGAAATGAAAAAAGAGCAAAAAAAGCTAAAATAGAACTAGAAAAAAGTAAAATTCGTGGCTCTATGAGGAAATTTATTAACAATTCCAATTCCAGTTCTAGCAATGTTACACTCACGTCTAACTATGAAAAGCCATCTACTTCTAAGGTAACAAGTTTAAGTATAAAGAGTAGGGCTTTTAAGAAAATATTATTATTCAGATGATTTTTTCACAATTATTCAAATAATTATCTAGGTAAAATAATGATACATTGTTTATAACTGATGATATAAATATAAATGTGAGTAAATCCCAAATTATGATTATCATCTTAATGAATTCTTATTAATGTCTATTTGCATCTTAAATATAATATAAATATACTAATGTAGGTACTTATTATATATAACATATTAAACAAACTTTTCCTTATTATCCACACAATTTGTGTCATATCTTTTAATTACAACAAAGAATGCACATTGAAACAGTATTTATAAATTGAGGAATTTTTTATTAAGTTTACTAAAATAATTCACAAAATAAATTGTTTTAATAATTTAAAATTTGATTGTTGGTCACTTTTTATTCATTTTTTGTATAACTTTTTACTTATTACTTCAAGTATAAATATAAATACATTTTTTTGTATGTTTTATTTTTATTAGTCACAACTACAAGACACCAGCAATCATGTATTTGAGTTGGAGGACCCAGCAAATTGGACATCAGTTATTGACAGGCAGTATCGTTCATGTATTGCCAATAAAGGGGCAATTCAAATAAAAAATTTTAAATTTCCAGTGAATAAAGAACAAAGATCATTCTCTGAAAACTATTATTACAAGACTATGACAAATGGTGAAAAGGTAATAAGACCATGGCTCATATATTCAAAAAAAAATGGATGCTGTATTTTGTTTTTCGTGTCGGTTGTTCCCAAATCCTAAGAACAAAACTAGTTTTACTGATGGCTTCAATGACTGGAAACATTTATCTGAACGAATTAAAAGCCATGATTCTTCAATTTATCATAAAAAGTCTAATCAACAATGGTTAGAATTATCATGGCGTATAGATAGTGGTAAAACTTTAGACAGTGAACTTCAAAAAGAAATTCAAACTGAAAAAGACCGCTGGAGAACAGTACTGAAAAGAATAATAGCTTGTATTATTTATCTTGCTCAACAAAATGACGCGTTCAGAGGAAAAAACTGTACCATTTATACAGAATCAAATGGTAAATTTCTTAAACTTCTTGAAATGATAGCAAGTTTTGATAATCCTATGGCTGAACACTTGAGAAATATAAAAAATAAAATAATCCATCAACATTATTTGGGACCCAGGATACAAACTGAATTAATACATTTGATTGGAAGTAAAATAAGGACAGAAATCGTAACACGTATTAAAACAGCAAAATATTACACTATTATGCTTGACGGAACTCCTGATGCATCTCACAAGGAACAATTAACGTTAATCATCAGAATTTTACAGATAACTAAAACTTATAGTAATGTTAAAGTTTCGGTGGAAGAATATTTTTTAAACTTTTTACACATAACTTTGAAAACTGGATTAGGATTATTTGATGCTTTAAAGCAAGAGTTATCAAATTTAGGTTTATGTTTATCAAATTGTCGTGGCCAAGGTTATGACAATGGTGCAAATATGGTTGGACATAAGCAAGGTGTACAGGCTAGAATTTTAAATGAAAATTCAAGAGCGTTATTCTTGCCGTGTTGTGCTCGATCATTAAATCTTTTATTAGGTAAGATTTTTAGTTGCCTGTTCTTTATTATTTTTTATGTAAACAATATGTTATTAATAACTATTTGAATATTATTATTTTAGGGGATATGGCAAATTGTATTCCACGAGCTATGACCTTTTTCGGAGTGATACAAAGGTTGTACACTTTATTTTCTGCTTCTACAGAGCGTTGGGAAATTTTGAAAAAACATTTAAAATGTTTAACATTGAAACAGTTGTCTGATACTCGATGGGAGTGCCGATTAGAATCTGTGAAGGCCGTGAAAATGCAACTTAAAGAGATAAATGAAGCGTTAATAGAAGTAAGTGAATCTACATCAATACCGGCAATTAAAAGTGAAGCTATTTCACTTGCTGAACATGAAATGTCTTACGAATTTGTGCTAAAATCAATAATATGGTATAATTTATTAAATAATATTAATAAAATTAGCAAATCTCTGCAAAATGAAAGCATTTCAATTGATTTTGCTGTAAATAATTTGAAAGGTTTCAATCAGTTTTTAAATAAGTATCGAGAAAATGGATTTAATGAAGCAAAAGAAGAAGCTATACTTATTTGCAAACAAATCAATATAAAACCAGAGTTTAAGTCAAAAAGAATAAGTTTAAAGAAACGAATGTTTAATTATGAAAGCTCTCCTATATTATGTTCAAAAAAATGAAGAAGAAACTTTTGTCAATGATTTTTTTTTACCAATTTTAGATCAAGGAATTATGTCTATAAATCAAAGATGGGTGAATCTTAATTGGATCATTTTTACAATTATTTTGGATTTCTCTTTGATATTGGTAATTTATCTACTGTTGATTCAGATACATTGATAAAGAGTTGCAATGATCTTCAGATTCTTTTACAATCTGGTGAAAACATGGACATAAGTGGAACTGAGTTGTATGATGAGCTTTGTCTTCTTTCAGAAATAATAGAAAAAGGTACTCCATCTCTTCATGTTTTACAAAAAATCCTTAGCAATAGTGTTGGTGATGTTTATGCTAATGTTGCTATAGCATTAAGGATTATGTTCACATTACCAGTTTCAACAGCAACAGCCGAGAGATCATTCTCTAAACTAAAGTTGATAAAAAATTACCTAAAAACCACATTAAATCAGGAAAAAACGACAAACTTAGCTATAATATCAATTGAACGTGATATAGTAGACGAAATGCACTTTGATGATATTATTCACACATTTGCTGATCACAAATCAAGAAAAATCAATTTTTAAATACTATTATATGTGTACCTACAATAATGACATGTTATATGTATTATTAAAAGAAACAACAATTTAATCATAATTTATTTATGTATAAGTGTATGATGGAAATTACATTTTTAGATGTGTTCATCTAATCAAATTGGCACTACGAAGAGCACATATGAGAATAAAATAAAAATAACAATGGAATGTTATATTATTTTTGAAATAATACTTTATGTATGTTAACATTTGAAATGGTTGAGATTACGACTTACGTGAGTGTAATTTTTTGAGAGAGTTTTTTGGTAGGCCCCGCAAATTGTAGGGACGGCCCTGTGTGCAAGGTCATCCCTGATCTATATGATTATATGACAACTATCACGAGGTTTTGGTGTACATCAACTATCAACGGCTCAACGGACATCAACTTTAATCTTTATTACTTTTATATTTATTTTTTTATCTTAAATTGCTTTTAATTTACAATATTTAATTTTTTTTTTAAATCCTACTGTGGTCCGACAATACAGTGTCTCGCCCTGTGGGTTGGCGACCCTTTATTTTCAATGCGCCATGAAAGTTACAAATTTTTCGTTGAGGCCAATTAATTCGATTTATTTTATAATATTTGTAACCTTTCAAAGTGAAGATTTTTTTTTAAACATAATTACTTATTAGGACTACTAAAATAAAATAAGTTATAATATTTATTAAAAAAATTATGTAAAATATATTAGAAGGTCACTAAATGTTGGGTTGGCACTATAGAACTAAGAAAAATTGGTTCGTTAATAGAAATAGTATAGCGGGTACCAGGACAAGGTCAAGGCGACGACGTCATCGTGTCCTAGTTTTTGTCCTACAATTACCATGACCTCACAAAGGCGATAATTATTTCTGTCCTATGATTGTCATGACGTCGTCAATTACGGACTAACATTGTGCCGCGCACTGGATGGCCCTCGTGCTAGGTCAAAATCAGTGTGATGGCTGAGTGTGCGTCATTATGTGGCCTGTTCCAGTCTTCATGTGTACTTGTTAACGTTAGCCCTATTACGCGTGCTGCGGTACTTGGAGCGAAAAAAAAATTCATCTTTCAGAAGGGGTTCGTGCTAATCTTTGCACGTGTGAAAAGTATGCATCGAGTCCGCAGGTTTGTTGTGCCGCTACCCTATACGTAAATGGCCCGACGTCCATTTCTTACCTCCTCCGATCGTCCAAGTCCCGTCAGAAAACGATTGACGCGACCTCTTAATGTGTTTGTTGGTGACGACGACGACGCGCCGCCTCCGCCTAATGACATTGTGGTTATACAATTTATTTGAAAAATAAAAATTGTGTGTCGAGTTAAATAAAAGAGTGTATAAAAAACGGGTTTTCGTTAACTATCTTTATGATGCCATGTAAACTACATCAAAGTCAACCAAATGTCGATGAAAGTCTTGAAACCCAACTACTGCAGTCACCATATATTGTTGTCTAGTCTATATGACCACGATATGAATTTATAATATTCAATCAGTGTGAATTTTTATGTAAACTATGTATAAATATAATCTTTGTTATAAATACACACTTATCACTTGTGTTTGTACTCATGGTTATTAAGATCTTGACACGACTTACGTCGCAAAAATGTGGTCGACACTGGTTTTGTGGGTAGAGACCCGTGAGCCGTTTATTAATGAGAAACCGAAAAGATGAACACAATAATAATAATCTTTGTATAATATCGCCGCACTTTCGCTGGCGTCGACGACGCGATGTTCGGCGTGATCCACGGGCGTCAAAAGGTTAGCAGCGTTGATGGCGACGATGCGGATCGGTTCGTCGACGTTGTCATTTTCACAACGGGAAGAAGACTCTCATATCATTTACGACGAGTCGTCGTCGGGCATGCGGCACTTGCTGGACTTTGCACTGTAGCGTATAACACGCGGTGTAGGCCAGTCAAATACTCATAGTAGGGCGACGGCTGATAAAAGTGGCACGAGTCGCGGGGCATCGTGTATAACGAAGCGACGCGGGCCGTGTCAGTCTAATGATTTGTTGCTGCTAAATGTTTAATGAGTAACCCCTACACTGGCCACGGACGCTGACGTTATTTACATAAAAAACATTGTGTTGTTGAGAATACGGTATTGAGCGGTGGAAATTTCTAATGCTAAAATTCGTTGATGTTAAGCAACAAAAATTGTATTACGTAATTGGATGAATGACCCACCGCGATCGTGTTTCTTAAAAAAAAAATGATTATGATACCTTTAGTGGAGCAAAACTTGGTCAACTAAATGTTGCCAAATATATAGGGTGCTACCACACTTATTAAGCTATTTTTTTTACAGAGTGAGGCGAGTAACGAACTCATGTAGTGGTGGTGCAACCGCCGCACTATCAATTCGATTACTCTATACCTCTATACACAACTACATGTAAAATATACTTGTACATAGAAATTAAAAATAACATTTAATATTATTTACATAAATAGAATTAAAAAATGTGTATAACATAGAAATTGAATGCTATTAGTATAAAAAATTATTTTGTTTTATTATATAAAAACAGACTTGAAGGTCTAAAGTAGACTATATCAAGATCAATCAAATCTCGATGAAAGTTTTGAAATCTAACTATTTAATCCAACCCATAGTCATCTTATGTTGATATTGTTTAAATAGAAAACTAGTGTGAATTTCGTAATATATACACTACATATAATTGAATCTTTTTTATAAATACACCTTTATGACATGTGTGTGTGTGTTTATACTAATGATTATTGAGATCTAATAAGATATTGCTCAATGATTTACTCTTTGCATATGGTAAACAATTAAGATTAATTGGAAAATCTTAACCTAATGTAATGTGGTGAAACTTAAAATAAATTAAATTATATAATATTATATATTGTAGTTTATAATTAATATTATTAGTAATTACTAATAATACATAATTATTTATAATGAATTGTCAATAATATAATTAACAACAATTTTTTTATTAATAAAATTTATAATTTATTATACATTTAATGATAACCCAGTTGTGGACCGCTGAGTAGTGTTGTAGCTAAATATGTTGACAGCTGGTAAATAGTATGACCATTTATTTTGATTGTTGTCATTCATATAATGTCCCAAAAAAATTTTTTTTATATGTTTACAAAGTACATTAAATAAAATTTGCACTATGTAGCAATGAGCTAATAAGCGAGTGGTACAATTCTTACCATTCACAAATACAGTAAAGAAAAAATGAATTATTTTTTTATTTAAATGGTATAAATTAGAATATTCTATAAAAATGGTATACTTTTTTTCTAAAAAAAATGTTTATTTCCCAATAATTATTATAGTATTTCAAATATAGAAATCGAAATATTTAATCGAGATACAAAAATAACATATATTAGTTTTATTCTGAAGTAATTTAAATTTAAANATTTAATCGAGATACAAAAATAACATATATTAGTTTTATTCTGAAGTAATTTAAATTTAAAATTGTTTCCTTTTTTAATTAAAATATTTAAATAATAAGCAATCTTTTGATTTAGAATTAAATTTTCTTAAAAATAAATATATTTGATACTACTATTAAATTAGAATAAATCAACAGCAAAGCATGTATAGGATTAAAAAAACTTACAATAAGAAGACAAACAACACTTTGAAATATTTCATAATTAACAATTGATTCTTGACTGAAATGGCATTGAATTATTTGAATCAGTGTAGTTGCATTGTACTTGATATGGAATGGTTTGATTGAACCAATTTGAAAAAATAAGAGCTAGTGTTTACCCACCTACTAATTGGCTACTTCATTAAGATTATGTTTCTTTAATGCAGAAGATCACAATGGCTAGTGGTAGTAAAACAAACGAGTAAAAAACGATAAAATGAAGAAAGCAGAAAAAGTGAATATACCATTGAGTGAAGTAAAATTGCTCATTGATTAATATATGGAACAATACATTCAAAATCATTCTAACTCTTTCAATGCCAATCTACATCATCCACCTCCTTCAAACACGCAAATAAGGTTGCACGATGCTATGAGGTCGCTTCCTAATTCTTTTGATGAAAGAGATGTAGAGCAATTGGAAATCTTTTAGGAAAAATGCGAATTTGCAGTAGAATGTGTAGTACCTGTGGATATTCCACGGTTACTACGGGCAATTCAAACTCGACTGTCTGATAAACCAAGGCAGGTCACAAAATACAAAAGCTTTAAATCATGGGATGATCTTAGAGATACATTGAAATCAAATTCATAGCCTCGAAGAACAACCCCACACCTTTACTGTGAGTTATACACTACAAAGCAACTGCTAAACGAGGACATACTACCATTTTCAATGAAGATTGATAAGCTACAAAATCAAATTATAGATCAAGAGACGCCAGTCAAATATACAGAGGTAGCTAAGGCGATAGAGTTAATGATTAATAATCAAGTAATCCCAGTGTTTATGGAAAGCTTGGAAACTTGAAAGACTTTATAAAAGCCCGGAATCCTTCAACTTTTGAAAAGCAGCCAAAGAAGAAGAAAGGATAAGACTTTAAAATTTAGGAGCAAAACAATATTTGAAAGATAGACCACTAAAAAGTTCTAATTCACCATATTCTACATCACAACCTTCTACTTCCAGCACAAGCTGTGATTTATGTAATAAATGGGATATTTTGCTAACTTCTATTATAATATAAATTCTATATCCATTAATAGCACAAATAATGCTAAAATACACATCTCCGCTCTACAAATCTCTGCTCTCGCAGAAAATATCTGCAGATATTATTATTATTATAAACCCAACCGCATACACGTTACAACCCGGGCTCAGTCAAAGGAACAAGCTTCTATATCACAAAATCATTCTAATTCACAATTAGACTCTGAAAATAACTCTGAACATTAAAATATACTGTTTTCGTCGCTATAACCTGTAGCATGATAGAAAAACAACAGTTCGAGCATAATTACATCAACTTTCTACAGGCCAGGGAGGAGTCATTATATACTACATCGAATGTTCGGGAAATTTTCGGAAACAATGATTGTCATTTAGCTAATAGTGTATCCTAT